GCTGCCTCTGCTGCCCAGGCCGCGCAGCAGGGGACGCTGCGCAGGCTCTGCCACCATCTCAGCTGCTGCTGCTGAGACCCGGGGGTTGTGGACTGTGTCCTGGTTGATTCTAGGCCCTTCTACTCCGTGTCCTCCTTCCCCCGCACCTTCCGGGAGGAGCAAACACCAGTAGGACGCTGGCCGGGCAGGTCCAGGATGGAGGGAACTGGTCGCCGCCCAGGCGGTTCCTGGGTCCTGAGCTGCAGCTGGGCGCCCACGGAGTCCTGAGTCTTCAGGCCCCGGGGTCCACAGAAGCAGCCTGAGGTCGGGGTGCCCTCTGCCGGGGCCTACCTTGCGGCGCACGGCTCCCTCAGCCCCCCATGCAGCACCGAGGCCAGACGCGCCTGAGCACACTCCAACCCCCGCTGAGCATGAGGAGGACCCCTACAAGCTCCTGGATCTCTAAGGGATTCTGTCCCCGCCAAGTCCTGCAGATGCCGCGGGACCAGAGGGGACCCCGGTGTGTGCCCACGTGGGTGCGAGAAGCGCTGGTCAGTGCGTCTTGGCCGCCACTTACTCTTGTGCAGAGTCAGAGCACCTCTAAGCATCCACCTTGGGGAGGTGGCCTGGGCTCTGCCCCCTTCGTGGCCACTGTGCATGCACGTGGGATTGGGCTGCTCTGTCCGCGGTCCTGGCTGAGCCCATTAGGGCACAGGTGACCTTGCTGCGGGTTCTCAGGGCTGGGAGCCCAATAGCTGCTGCTGGTGCGGGATCCACTGGAGAGCTGCTGCCCAGAACCTTCCCAAGGACCCAGCCCAGCCTCCATGCTCCTCTGGGGGGCCGGCTCTGGCGCCCATAGGACTGGGCGAGCTTTTCGAGTGTGCACCTCTGTGACTCGCGGCTTCCTTGTGCTTTTCCCATCGCATTCCCTGGACTCGGAGAATTGACCCCCATCTCGCGGCATCATTGGACTCCGGGAAGACTCATCACGTGTTTGGGGGATTTATTTTATTTTATGTTATTTTATTATTTCGTTGCTCATTTCTCTTCATTCATTGGAATTTATTCTATTTCTCCGCAATGAACTGTTCCGAACATTGGGTCCCATTTGTATTTTTTTATCAGCAGAATTTCTGGATTTTAAGGACTATGTCAGTGCTTCTTGCCAGTTACATATCTGTTTGTCCTTTCCATCATGGCAAACGGATGCTGTCAAACCTAATGAATTTATTAATAAAAGCTAAAAAATATTCAGTTTGTGTCCCTAGATTGGTCTCAAACTTTTCACCCAAAATGGCGGGGTCAGCTTTCCTGCTCCTGAGTAACCACTTCCCAGTCAGCCTGGAATGAAAGATGTGGGTGCTTCTGAGATGCTTGTCCTTGGGCCTGCAGGGGAGAGCTATGGGTCTGTGGTCACTCAGCCCAGTGGACTGAATGAAGGTCCTGGGTTCCATTTCAGTCAAGGTCATGTACTGGTTGGGGGCATGATCCCTGGTCCCGGTGCTTAGGGGAGGCAACCAATCAATGTGTCTCTTTCAATACATGTTTCTCCCTGTCTCTTCCCCTCCTTTCCACTCTCTCTAAGTATCAATGGAAAATATATCCTTGAGTGAGGATTAGCACCAACAAAAAAAAGTTAAAATAAAATAAAATAAAGATTAAAAAGCAAAGAAAAAATGTGTAAGAGCCAGGACAGGACCTCCCCGGGAAGAGGTCCACTGTCAGCACCACTGTCCAGGACAGGTGCCCGAGGTGGGTACTAACCATCACACCTGCTCATAGAAGAGGAACAGGCCTGGGGCGGATGGGGGGGGTGACTGTCCCGAGGTCACACAGGGAATGAGTCCTGAGCTGGGATATGAACCCAAGTAGGGTGCCCTGGGCATGCCTGCTCATCCCTTGGGCAAAACTGCCTCTCCCTTCCAGGAAATGCCAGCAGAAGCTCAGCTCAGGACTCACTGGGCATGTCAGGGTCTACTGTGCATTTGGCTCATGGGCCCACATGTGTGTGGTTGCTGGTGATTTTTTAAAAATTTGTTTTATTGCTTAAAGTATTACAAAGAGTATTACATGTGTCCCCCTTTTTCCCCCACCCTTAACAATCCCCTGGCCTCCCCTACCCCCCAGTGTCTTATGTCCATTGGTTATGCTCATATGCATGCATACAAGTCCTTCAGTTGATCTCTTACCCGCCCCCCCTCCCACCCCTCAACCCTCCCCGGCTTTCCCACTGTAGTTTTACAGTCTGTTCAAGGCAGCTCTGCCTCTGTATCTATTTTTGTTCATAAGTTTATAAAGGTCTTTATCATCCATGAGTGAGTGAGATCATGTGGTGTTATTCTTAATTGACTGGCTTATTTTACTTAGCATAATGCTCTCCAGTTCCATCCATGCTGTTGCAAATGGTAAGAGTTCCTTCTTTTTTACAGCAGCATAGTATTCCATCGTGTAGAGGTACCACAGTTTTCTAATCCATTCATCTACTGATGGGCACTTAGGCTGTTTCCAGATCTTAGTTATGGTGAATTGTGCTGCTATGAACATATGGGTGCATATATCCTTTCTGATTGGTGTTTCTGGTTTCTTGGGATATATTCCTAGAAGTGGGATCACAGGGTCAAATGGGAGTTCCATTTTTAGTTTTTTGAGGAAACTCCATACTGCCTTCCATAGTGGCTGCACCAGTCTGCATTCCCACCAGCAGTGCACTAGTGTTCCTTTTTCTCCACATCCTCTCCAGCACTTGGCGTGTGTTGATTTGTTGATGATAGCCAGTCTGACAGGTGTAAGATGGTACCTCATTGTCGTTTTGATTTGCATCTCTCGGATGATTAGTGACTTTGAGCATGTTTTCATATGTCTCTTGGCTTTCTGAATGTCCTCCTTTGAAAGGTGTCTATTTAGGTCCTTTGCCAATTTTTTTTTGTATTGTTTATCTTCCTTTTGTTAAGTTGCATAAGTTCCCTATAAATTTTGGAGATTAAGCCCTTATCAGATATAACGTTGGCAAATATGTTTTCCCACGCAGTGGGCTTTCTTGTTGTTTTGTTGATGGTTTCTTTTGCTGTGCAGAAGCTTTTTATTTTGATGTAGTCCCATTTGTTTATTTTCTCTTTAGTTTCCAATGCCCTAGGAGCTGTATCGGTGAAGAAATTGCTTCGGCATATGTCTGAGATTTTGTTGCCTTTGGATTCTTCTAGTATTTTTATGGTTTCCCATCATACATTTAAGGCCTTTATCCATTTTGAGTTTATTTTTGTGTATGGTGTAAGTTGGTGGTCTAGTTTCATTTTCTTGCATGTATCCGTCCAATTTTCCCAACACCATTTATTGAAGAGACTATCTTGACTCCATTGTATGTTCTTGCCTCCTTTGTCAAATATTAATTGAGCATATTGTTTCGGGCCGATTTCTGGGTTCTCTATTCTATTCCATTGATCTATATGTCTGTTCTTGTGCCAATACCAGGCAGTTTGAGAACAGTGGCTTTGTAATACAGCTTGATATCTGGTATTGAGATCCCACCTACTTTGTTCTTTCTCAGGATTGCTGCAGCTATTCGGGGTCTTTTTTTATTCCAGATGAATTTTTGGAGAGTTCGTTCTAGGCCTGTGAAATATGCCATTGGTATTTTAATGGGAAGTGCGTTGAATTTATAGATTGCTTTGGGTAGTATGGCCATTTTAATGATGTTGATTCTACCAATCCAAGAACATGATATGTTCTTCCATCTGTTTATGTCTTCCTCTATCTCTTTTTTCAACGTCCTGTAGTTTTCTGAGTAGAGGTCTTTTACCTCCTAAGTTATAAATGTATAACGAAGCCAATTTCTCCACACCCCCAAACTCCTATTGAAAACATCTGCCTGTTTGGGGGTTTCTTTCTGGACAGTTTAAATAGTTAGCATGTGCAGATTTGGTGGAATTTTAAACATTTGGATTTGTGCTTTGGTTTATTTTTAAATGTCTAACCAAGCTGATTCCCTGACCAGCCCACCCCCCTCCCTAATGAAAACATCTTAACCATGGTTTTATTTCTACAAATTTTGAATATTCAGTTTGTGTCCCTAGATTGGTCTCAAACTTTTCCCCCAAAATGGTGGGGGTCAGCATTCCTGCTCCTGAGTAACCACTTCCCAGTCAGATTGGAATGAAAGATGTGGTTGCTTCTGAGATTCTTGTCCTGGGGCCTGCAGGGGAGAGCTATGGCTCCTCTGTCATCGAGCTCAGAATGGGACTCTCTAAACTGAGTCCCTCACCATTGCCAGGCAGTGGCTTTGGCCCTGAGTTGATTCCTGTGAAGAGTCAGGAGTCAGTGGATGGGGCTCAAAGGCTTGGCCTGACTATCATGCCTTGTTTCCTAGAAGTTTCTGCAGGATTCCTTTCTGAGCACCTTGACGATGAGTATCCGGACCCCACCCACACCCCTGAGGCTGGCAGGACGGAGCCTGCTGGGGGACCAGGCCTCAGCCATTGCAGCTCTGGAGTACCTGCCTGCTGAGCTCTTCCCGCCACTCTTCATTCAGGCCTACCAGAAGAGAAAGCAAAAGCCTCTGAAGGCCATGATGCACGCCTGGCCCTTCCCTGTCCTCCCTCTGGGCTGCCTGTCACAGTTGTCCCTGGATAAGGTCTTAAAAGCCGTGTTGGATGGGCTTGACGTTCTGATTGCCCAGGAGGTTCGGCCCAGGTAAGGCTGCTCCAGGTGCCTGGTAGAGCCATGGGCATCTGGGAGACAGTGGGGGTCAGGGCGTGTGGAGGACCTAAGGGTGGACCCGAGGTTTCTGATGGTGCCAGTGAGGCTCAGGGAGCCCTTGCACACTGCGCAGCTCACTGTGGGAAGTGGAGGACTGCCTACTGGGCAGGGGCACCTGCAAAACCTGCCCTGCCTCCTCCTAGTGGTACTTAAAGGTACCCGAAGTGCTGAGCAGCAGGGATGGAAGGGAGGGAGATGAGCAAAGCTAAGCAGAGGGAGGAGGCGGGGAAGGGAGAAGCTGACCCGGGGATTCAAAGGAGAAGCTCAGGGTGGGCATGGAGTCTGATTGTTGCCTCAAATCAGATGCTCAGTCTCATTCTGACCTGCCCTCATTCTGTTGATCTTTTTTGAAAAACATTATTTTATTGAATTTTTTGGGAGAGATTGAGATAGAAGCATCAGTGATGAGAGAGAATCATTGATCGGCTGCCTGCTGCGCGCGCGCACACACACACACACACACACACTCCCACCCACTGGGCATTGAGCCTGCAACCCAGGCATGTATGATGATGGGATTGATCTGTGACCTCCTGGTTCATAGGTAGATGCTCAACCACTGAGACACACAGTCCATAAAGCATCTCAGCCAATGTCCTGTTGACCTGCAAGAATCTCAGCTAATGTCCTGCTTTTCCCACAGGAGGTGGAAACTGCGGGTGCTGGATTTAAGGAACTCAGGTGCCAACTTCTGGAGAATGTGGTGTGGAGACAGCACCCAAAATTGCTCACCGACGGAACCAGTGGCTGTGCACAGCTCCAGCCCAAACTTGGAGCACCCCTTGGCTCCCTTGGAGGTGTTCCTAGACCTTAACTTCAGTGAAATGGACGGGGTTAAGTTTTTCATGCACATCATCCAATGGGCCCAGCAGAGGGAAGGGTTGCTACACCTGTGCTGCAAGACGCTGAGGATTTCTGAGGTGCCCTTCCAGAGGGTCAGGAATGTCCTGGTTGGGGTGCAGCTGGACTGCATCCAGGAGGTGAACGTAAAGTGCACCTGGGACCTGCCCACCCTGGGGACGTTTGCCCTCAACCTGGGTCAGATGAGTAACCTGCAGAGACTCTCTCTCTCCCACATTCATATGTTGACAGAGGAGGAGTAGCAAGAGTGAGAGATAGGGGAGGAAGAGGAGGAAGAGCAGGAGTGGGAGGAGGAAGAGGAATGGGAAAGGGAGGAGCAGGAGGAGCAGCGATACTTCTCCCAATTCCTCTCTCAGATGCTCAAGCTGCGGCACCTCCGGGACCTCAACATGGATTCGCCCTCCTTCCTCCGAGGCCGTCTGGACCAGATGCTCAGGTGAGCTGTGTACCAGTGGACGCAGCTCCAGAAGGTCAAGGGAGTGGTCTTGTTAGGTGCTTTGAATGGTGTCATCCTGTGAGCACCGAAGCAAGCATGTTTTAAAATCCGCCTGTCAGGATGGGTAACAGAACTGGCCCAATGAGTGACCCAGCGAGCCTGGGTCTGTGAATTCTTCCTTAAGGAGAGATTTTTAAGTGACCAGGACTTAGGAAGAGGGAGGGAGGAGGAAAAGCCACATCGGATGGAGCATTTCCAGACAGAAGCTCTGTGCCCACTGGCCATGTGAATACACGTGAGCTTGTCTCAGCTTCCCCATCTGTCATTGGTGGTCCTGGGCTCCAGGAAGGTCATTAGTAGAAAGGAAAGGCAGAGCGACCACGCCATCTTTGGAAACAGAGCTGCTTGAGACTAGGATCCTGGCCTCAGCACCACCCAGTCTGATTGCAGACGCATACCAGGACCCTGCAGCCACTGGGGACAGAGACCTGTGACCACAGCTACAGACCTTCGGACACCAAAAGTTCAGAGATCCCCGCTGCAGATCCGTGAGTAACAGAGCCCATCCCCCCTTCCCGCAGGCTCTCGGGCAGCGGGCAGCGCCGAGTAACTAACTGTTAGACCCACCCCTTGCCGGGGCCTCAGTGCGGCAGGAACTTTGGCCTGGAAGTGCGCTAGCACCCTGGAACTGATCCTTTGTGCACTGCCGGCTTCGGAGCCCTGGGCTGGTTGCAAACCAAACGCGCGAGCACCGGGAACTGATCCTACGCCCACTGCGGGCTTCGGAGCCCTGGGCTGGGAGCAAACTCGCGAACGGGAATTTGTCTGCGTAGCACAGTCCCAGGGACCCCGTTTCTCGGGGCAGGAGGCAGCACCAAGCACCAGTGACTTGACTGTGTTTCTTATCACCTGCGCCTGAGATCCTGATTCCCTGTGCATTCATACTAAGAGCCAGTGAATCCATTTCCTGGTGCAAGGGCACACAGGGGCCCG